ACCCGATTCCCCAAAAGACAGCACACAGGGAAGCCAGCATCAGCCTTCCTTGAGCACCTCCACCACCTGCCCAGCTTCACCTTCCTTCAGCCTGCTTGCCCCACACTGTAGATTAACTGCCTGGAAACAAGAAATGGCAGTAAAAACACTAGATAACTCAAGTATAACCGCATTCCCAGTCTCATACAGTGTTTTGACAAACAGTAGGTGCTCAATAACACTGAAAATCAATAAATGAATCTTGTTCCAATTCTGCCACTAGCTGACCTTGGACAGTCACTTAACCTCTGTGAGCCTCATCTATAAAATGAGGAGAGCTAAGCTGAAATTCATTTTAACTCAGCCGGGTGCGGTGGCTCACGCCTGTAATCTTAGCACTCTGGGAGGCCGAGGCAGGCATCGATTGAGCTCAGGAGTTCGAGGCCAGCCTGACCAAGAGCGAGACTAAAAAAAAAAAAGTAGAAAGAAATTAGCTGGCCAACTAAAAATATATATATAGAAAAAAATTAGCTGGGCATGATGGTGCATGCCTGTAGCCCCAGCTACTCAGGAGACTGAGGCAGGAAGATTGCTTGACCCCAGGAGTTTGAGGTTGCTGTGAGCTAGGCTGATGTCAGGGCACTCTAGCCTGGGCAACAGTGTGAGACTCTGTCTCAAAAAAAAAAAAAATTAAATTAATTTTAACTCAAAAGTCCTATGATTATAATACATTTTTAGGAGCTGACCTGGAAACAGTTTTATGCTGTTCTTTTTCATGAAAATTTAACCTAGCCTTAACTCATAAACAAAAGGAGAAATGTGGGCAAAGCGGTAAGGACAGCCAAATTAGAATTAACCCAGAGGATCAAGGCAATGACAATAACAGCTGGCTCATCCTCTCATCCAAGTGTGAGAAAAAAGTAAAAAAAATGCTCAGCATTTTTAGTAAAACTATGCAAGGCACAGCCCATTCATTGTACTATTTGATGTGCCTTATATTAAGCCTCCAAAGGACAAATTCCTCTTAAGTGCTAGGAAAGTTTTCACTTTACTTCCTTTCAAAACATGAGATCTATATAACTTTTCATTATTGCTAAACTTTGCCAAGTTGTCAAGAACCAATATTTAGGCCGGGCATGGTGGCTCACGCCTGTAATCCTAGCACTCTGGGAGGCCAAGGAGGGCTGATTGCTCGAGGTCAGGAATTCAAAACCAGCCTGAGCAAGAGCGAGAACCCGTCTCTACTATAAATAGAAAGAAATTAATTGGCCAAATAATATATATAGAAAAAATTAGCCAGGTATGGTGGCGCATGCCTGTAGTCCCAGCTACTCAGGAGGCTAAGGCAGGAGGATTGCTTGAGCCCAGGAGATTGAGGTTGCTGTGAGCTAGGCTGACGCCATGGCACTCACTCTAGCCTGGGCAACAAAGCGAGACTCTGTCTCAAAAAATAAATAAGAACCAATATTTATTTTCAATTACAGTATAGTGCCATCTTAATCCTACTGATAATAGGGTGGCTCTCCTGCCCCACCTCTACCCTGCCACCTTCAATCTTAGCTCTTTAGTCTTTTAGTTAATTGCACCTACACCATTATCATTTATCAAACCCCTTACAGAAGTGAGTGGGGGGTATTAACAAAATATTGTTATAGACAATATTAGACCTCATATTTACAAATTTACATTCAAGTTTTGTGGATTAAAATCTATCAATATAAACTGCTATTGGCCCCAGACTTCAAACTAATCTCAATTGCAGTAAGTTCAATTCTTTTTTTTTTTTTTTGAGACAGTCTTGCTTTGTTGCCCAGGCTTGAGTGAGTGCTGTGGCGTCAGCCTACCTCACAGCAACCTCAAATTCTTGGGCTCAAGCAATTCTGCTGCCTCAGCCTCCCCAGTAGCTGGGACTACAGGCATGCGCCACCATGCCGGGCTAATTTTTCCTATATATTAGTTGGCCAATTAATTTCTTGCTATTTATAGTAGAGACAGGGTCTCGCTCTTGCTCAGGCTGCTTTCGAACTCCTAACCTCGAACAATCCACCTGCCTCGGCCTCCCAGAGTGCCAGAGTGCTGGGATTACAGGCGTAAGCCACCTCGCCCAGCCAAGTTCAATTCTTTACTGTCTCCACTCAATACTTCTTTAATCTTTCTGAACTAGTTTTGGAAGAAAGGTCTAACATTCCTACCTAATCCTCACTGTAAATGCTCATCTCATTTTTATTATCAGTAACCATCCAAATCTCAACAGTAATAGAAATGAGATACTGTGTAATCCCAACACAACAAAATGAGATGTTTTTTATCAGAATTGAGTTTAGGGATTTATGAAAGACTGTTCCTACAATGTATGCTGGGTAATAGTCTAGAAACATTAATATCCAAATTGTTTAAATTTCAACACCAATGGATTTCTTTAAAATTCTTAAATCTCTTACAAAACTATCAATAGTCCTCAACCATAAATGAAGAAAGAAAACACAAGTTATATATATTTTAGAATTTAAGTCCTTTAAATAAATTGCTTGTACAAAGCACTCTTGGCTCAGAATAAAGAAAATCAAAACTTACCTGAAGTCATTAATTTAGCACAGCTACTTATGCTTGCATCATCTTCTAAGATTCGGTTTGTGCTCTTTTCTTTCCCAAGGAAAGTATCCTCCAAAGGTAAGCATTTATCAGATACAACACTGTCTTCACCCACCGCATGACTGCTTTTGCTATTAGCTTCAAGTACTGAAGTGACTTCTTCCAGCTGAGCAGCTTCACTAGATTCTGAATAAGAGGAACCCTTAACCTGGGCTAAATTCTTTGAAGAAACTGGTAGGGACTCATCATCACTATCAAATCCAAAAGGATCTCCAGTATTTTCTTCTTCCACTTTAGGTTTTTTTGGAATTTCTTGAATATCTGGTTTGAAATTGGGTCGCTTCTGCCCTAATTTAGCCATAAATGTGGTCTCTCCCCATTTTGTGCTAAGGGTTGTCCGTTTGTTGGAAAAGACTTCATCAAATTTTGAACTGCCATTTCCTCCTTTCCTACTGTATGTTTTCCCAAATCTGGATGTCATTTTGACACCTGTTTCATATTCTCTGTGAAAAAAAATTTAAGGAAATATATAATCATAAATACTTAACAAGTGTTAAACACTGCATATAAAAATAAGAAACTAGGGATTCTCCCCCATATGACTTTTTGACATTCACTATACAAACATTTAAAAATGATTAAATAAATATGAGGAAGGGGATAAAGAAGCTCATTTTTTACTGTATATGCTTCCATATGTCAACTTTTTTTTTTACGATGAGTACATAGTCATCCACTCCTTACAAAGTAAAAAAAACTTAACGACAAACCAACTTATAATACAACATCCATAAAATCAACTTATCATGAAACATTTTAAAGTTCCAAATGAACCAACTATTCAATAAACAGTTTCGCCTTTAAAAAAATAATGTGAATTGGGTAATTACCCCTAATATAAAATTTTAAGCACAATATGTTAATTTTTTCAGGATTGCAGAAATGTCAAATAGTTGACTAAATTTAGCTCTTTGAAATTTCACAGCACTTATTCATATGAGAAAAAAGGTCAGAAAAACGGTGCTATTTTCTTATGTATTACATACAACTTGCAGCTTTTAATCCAACCTTGAAGATTCTCATTCTTGGTGTAATATAATCTGGACTGTGATTTAAAAAATATTCCTTAGGTGGTTATCTCCCTAAGCGCAAGAAACCATCCTTATTCTATCTTCCTTGTCCCTATAGTGCTGTGCTCATTTGCTGAGTTACATTTTCTGGTGAACTCCAGCATATCACCCAGTTCCATGGATTACTACAGGAATAGAAGCAAGCAACCTTTATTTTCCTCCCCAATTTATAAATGACAAATCAATTCATCTGATTTATCTAATTATTAACACATAATGACATAATAAGACAAAAAAAATTTTCAGGATAGTAAATCAAGAGTCAAACATTTTTAAAAACAAGTTATAGTACTTTTTGAACACTATCAATCATTACCCATTTCTTATACTTTGACCTACAGTTTAAATATCAATATATGAAATACAATTAAAAACAATGAATCATCTAGTGGCCTGAAAAACTTCATTACTTTGAAACTTACAACAATTGAAATGATAGTTGATCTACACTTTTGAATATGGTTTCATCTATACTTTTAATGTTTTCCCTTGATTAACTTAAATTCTTACAACTTACAATGAATCACTGTCCAAATTAGTTTTATGTATACTCAGTGGAGAATTCTCCCCTCAATGTTCGGTAAAAAGCCAATTCTAATTTGACAAAAAATATATAGTCATCATACACCTCTGTGCTACCAGAAAACAGTTTTCCTGAGGGAGACTTATTTCCCCTTCTACGGTAGATTTAGCGGATCTTATTGTCTTTCTTGTTAAGTATAACCTATACAAAACTACACTGGGCAGCTACCAAGACAACAAAATAAATTGATTTCTCTTCATTCCTTCAAGGATGTAGAGATCTGCAGACCTACGTTTACAGATACACCAACAAAGCTAAAATATTTTGGATACATTTACGAGGTAATCATCTAAAAATGCTGACTAAAGGCCAAACCAAAAATCTAGACTTGAGCTCCCTTAAGCCAACATCAGAAACACTCGTCAAAATGATCCTAGAATCACAAAGCATTCACTGTCAAAAGTTTAAAGTCTGCAGATGAATATCTGATACTAATGAGTTAATTATTTTAAGTCTGACAAGAAAATTGTAGTTTTTCAAAAGAGTCCATGTCTTTCACAAATATGTACTGAAATATCGATGAAATAACGTCAGCAATTTTCCAACATCAAGGAATGGGAAGTTTATAGATGAAATAAGTTTGGTTAGGAGTTAATAACTGCTGAATCCAAACGATAGGTACATGGGAGTTCATTATATAATATTCCCTACTTTTGACTGTCTTCATCGTTTCCCACAATAAAATGTCTTTTTTAAAAAGTCAGCAGACTTTTAAAATGGCATTATCTAAGCGTAAAGCACTAATAAACTCAAAAGTAAGTGTGCAGACATATTTGACATCATATTTTAAGTATACAAGCTATCTTGCCTGATCAGGCTTCGAACTCCAAAAACCGTCCTAACTAAAAAGGAAAGAATGATTCACGACTAGATCTTTTCAGTCGTTAGGCCTTTGCCCCTCAGCCAAAGTCAGGTCGCATTTTGAAGAAAGTGAGCTGGGGTTATTACAGACAAAAAAAGTCTTCGCACTTAACTTCCACCCGAATCTGGCGTCTCCCCAGTTTCCAGGGACTTTGAGGGCCAAACCTAACCACCCAGAAATCCTCACCTGGGGGCGGCCGGTGAGCCAGGAGGCAGTGGAAGAGGTGGCCCCCTCGGGCTGGAAGCTCACGCAACTTTTCTCCTCCCTACCCCCACCGCCCAGGAAAGGGATGTCGCTTTCGACGCCCCGGAAGCCTCTGCCACCGAATCCCTAGGGCAGTGCAAGGCCTCGGTGGCGGCCAGGGGCGGAGGAAACCACGGGAAAGGACTCAGGGCTGAAATCAACACACTTGACTGGGTTTGGGGAGGGAAGTTAATCAGAAGCCACCCGAAAAAAAACTCAAAAAAAGGAAAATAAGAGAGAAAAAAAAGAGTTCTTCAGTTAGCCCCCATGCCCAACTTCCTCAGAGGCCGGTGGGCAAGGCAGTGAGACTTCCATCGCCCCCTCCAGCTCCCCGGCTCCCCTACCCTCCTTGGCTCCCTCCCGGCCTAGGCAGCCGCCCGACACCTCACTTACCCTCGGCGCCTGGCGGGTGCTTTGGCCACGGGCCGCCTCCGCCTCTCCCGCTCCCAACGGCCCGCGGGCGGACGCGAGAGCCCCGCGCCAGAGAGCAGGGCCGGCTGGTGCGCCAAGGGAGGCAAGGGGCTCCGCTTTCGGTAAATAGGAAGCCCGGTGGAGGGGGGGAGGAGCGGCGGCCCCGCAACTTCCCTCCCCGCCTCGAGCGCCACCGGCCGGGCCCGGGCCTAGCCCTCCCTGGCCGCCGCCGCCCGAGCTGGTGCCGGAGCCCGCTACGTGCCCCTACTGGGCCGCCACCGCCTCCTGCGCCGCCGCTTCCGCCAGTGAATGGTCAGCGCTGGAGTTTGAACAGGGCCCTGAACCATCTCAACGCCATTTGCGCTCCCGGCCCCCACCTCCTTCCTCCAACAGCCGCTCGCTCCGTCACTCCGCTTCCCACAGGCCCCGCGCGGCCGCCCGACCCCGCAGCCAATCGCGCGGCCGCTTACTCAAACCGCCGCGCAGGCGCCGCGCCCCGCATGATCCGGCGCCCGCCATTGGTCCGGCCGCGGGGCCCGACGGGAGTTGTAGTCCCGGTCCTCGAGGTCGCGATGCTGAGAACCTGGCAGGGGACCGGGCGGCGGGCGGCGCGGTAGCAGCGGGCCTGGCCCGCACGGGCTCGGGAGCCGTGTCAAGCTCCCGGCCCCGCCGGGAGACGCAGGTGCCCGCGAGGGTGGGCGGGGGGCGCAGTGCAGGCAGCTGTATCAATCGTTTCCCCTCCAGGGACCCGCCGGTGTCTGGGGACGTTGGGGTGTGCAGCTGCGCGGGGCCTGCAGGGGCCGCAGCTCGGGAGCAGGGAGGCGGGGAGCTCGCGGCTCGGGGCCTCCATCGACCCGGCATTACCGGTCCTGGCCTGACGCAGATAACAACGGCGGGAACGCGGAGGCGCGGGACGCCGACTGCCCGACCGCCGTGGCCGCGAGCGGTGTCTGCCCCCGGCGTTTTTTGCGCCCCACGCCCAACCCTTCAGTCCTGACCCTGGAGTTCTTCCGTCTGCCTCTCACCCGTTAAAAGTGACCCCGAGAATATTGGATGGTATTAAGGATTTATCATTAACCTTGTTAGGTGTGATAACGGTAATGTGATCATTTAAAAAAAAAAAACATGCTAAAGTTGTGACATAAAATGATCTGGTGTCTGGAATTTACTTTAGAAGACGCCCAGGAAAACTGAGGGGGGAGGGGGTTGGAGAATAACACTAGCTGGAGGAATGTTTTTCATTGTTGACGCAGCGTGATGCAAACACTTGCGCCAATCCTATCTGTCTTCTACTTGTATATCTGAAATTTTCCATAATAAACAGTTTAAGTAAATGAATCAGAGATTGCCTTTGGGGAGGATGGGGAGCTGGTGGATGATGGGAGGCAGGAGTATTTCTTTTTCCCTGCACGCCTTTTTGAGGTTTTTTACATGTCAGTGTACTACCTAATTCAGAAAATTGGGAAGTTGTTTTTTTTTAAGGCTGCAATGGGAAAACAATGTTCTAGATCCCTCTAAGAGAGGTGCATGATTTATCGGACTCAGACAGCCCTGCTGTTACGCGGTTAATGGAGACCCACCTGGGAAATTAGAAAACTACTAATTGCTTTCAGTGAAAAGCCTGCCCCTTCCACAAATTTGTTAGGTCTTTTTTTTTTTTAACTCTTGAAGGAAAACAGCAAACAAATGGACAATTTGCTTTGAATGCACCCAGAAGTTATCAAGCTTCCTCCAATATAATCGGAAACCTCCGAATAAAGAAAAAATGGTTCAGAGACCTTGCAGCCCTTCCCAAGAGATTAAGGTGGATTTAGTGTGGTTGAATTGTTTTACGTGACTGCTTGCAAAATTTATATTCTGACATTTACATTTTCCGAAATACTGTATCAGTATTTCCTCTTGTTTCAAAACAAATCAACTTCTTCCATAGCTTAAATGAATGGAAATTATAACAAGTCTGTCTCTTCCTCCACTGTGGTAGTACTCACATGACTGTTTTATTTGGGTCAGTTTTTTTTCTTTCTTGAAAAAATCGGTGGTTTAGGATCTTGTTTTATTGCTTTGTTTGAAGATCACTGGCAGAGGTGCAGACTTACTATAATTATTTAGATGACATGGTGGTGGGTGCTAATTAAAGGGTAATTATCATCAGAGGCAAAAGGTGAGATCAAAAAGCCAAAAGAGGTGGCCAGACAATTGCAAGGTCCTATAGGAGGGTACTGTGAACGTCCAAGACCAAAGGATGTATTCATTATGCCTGGCCTCTCTGGTGCTGGACACTTGGCAGGGTCAGTGACTGCATGAAGTTCTAGTGGAAGGGTTAATTGTTTAAAGAAATAGTCTGTGGAGCCGTTTTGAGAGCTTTTTGTGCGGTAGTTGTGTTAAGTAATGGAACTTAGTAGCGTCAGATTCTTGCCAAAGAATAATCCTCAGTCAGCAGTATAAGGGTAGGCACCTGCCTGGTCCAGAACTTACACTTTAACAGGATTCCCCCAAGTGATTGGTCCACACATAAAAGTTTGATAAGGGCCAGGCAGGCGCAGTGGCTCACGCCTATAAGCCTAGCACTCTGGGAGGCCAAGGGAGGCGGATCGCTCAAGGTCAGGAGTTCAAAACTCAGCCTGAGCAAGAGCGAGACACTGTTTCTACTAAAAAAAAAAAAAAAAAAAAAAAGAAAGAAATTAATTGGCCAACTAAGAGAAATATATAGAAAAAATTAGCTGGGCATGGTGGCACATGCCTATAGTCCCAGCTACGTGGGAGGCTGAGGCAGGAGGATCGCTTGAACACAAGAGTTTGAGGTTGCTGTGAGCTAGGCTGACGCCACGGCACTCTAGCCCGGACAACAGAGTGAGACTCTGTCTCAAAAAAATAAATAAAAGTTTGACAAGCACTGATTTAAAGTAGACTGATAGCATTTTACAACAATTTAATATCTTTTGTGAGGATAGGGAGGGAGAGGTAGAACATTAAGAACCTGTGCCGGGTGCAGTGGCTCATGCCTGTAATCCTAGCACTCTTGGAGGCCAAGGAGGGAGGATTGCTTGAAGTCAGGAGTTCAAGACCAGACTGAACAAGAGCGAGACTTCCCCCCCCCCATTTCTACTAAAAATAGAAAAAATTAACTGGGTATGGTAGTGTGCACCTGTCTCAGCTACTCAGGAGGATGAGGCTGGAGGATCGCTTGAACTCAGGAGTTTGAGGTTGGTGTGAGCCAGGCTAACGCTCTAGCCTGGGCAACAGAGTGAGACTCTGTCTCAAAAAAAAAAAAAACATTAAGAATCTTTGCATCAAGTATGATGCTAGGTTCTTCAGGGGCCTTCTCTGTGTCCCAAGCTGTTATCCTTGTCTTAAAGGTAAGGAAATTGAGAGGCTTGCACTTGCTCAAGGTATTGCAACTTATAAGGGAGCCGAACTTTTTCTTAAGTTGGATACCCATTAGTGCTTGGGGACATTCTCAGATTTGGTAGAAAGTATTACATGATTTGAAAAGGAAAAAATTGTGTGTGAATGTGTGTGTATTTAATATGGAAGCTTAATATGTGAATATTAACCAGAGCTATGCTAGGGCTCTCTACTCTCATGTGCCCCATACTACAGACAGGTAGAGAGCCTACCACCTCTAGGTAGGGCTCCTCATGGAGGGAATTCTGACTCTCGACCCTGCAGGCTGTACCACCACCTTAACCCTTTACCTCCCAGGTTTGCTGAGGCAGGCAAATGCCCTGAAGGCACCCCATTCCCTTGCCATGGTCCTGAGTTCCACACCAGAATGAGCAAACTGGACTCCAGTATAGATACCATATGAGCCAGCAAGCAGCTTTTGGTTGTGTTTTTGTTCTCTTAGTTCTCTCAGCTCATGTTCCACTCACCTTCCCCTATCCCAACCCCTTCTTAGAATGGCTATCTTCCCTTCATAAGAATCTACTTCAAACAAACACCAAGTAGCAAGTAGTAGTACTTTTTTCTTTGCTAGAATGCCTCTATGCAAGCTTTCAGATGTCTGATTTTTTTTTCCTACTAAAGGGGTCATATTTATGCAAGAAACTGAAATCATGGATTTGAGCCAAGTTTGTATAATAGTACCCTTTGATGCTGTAGGTGGCCCTGCCTGGGGGAGAGTAGAACCCCACTACCTAGCCCCACTTGAGTGGGTTCATGCCTGTACTTTCCTCCAGCTGAGAAAAGAAAGCTCTGCAAAGAAAAGTAATGGAAGGCATCTGTTCGGCCATTGCTGTGTCCTGTTCTAGCCCAGGCATGGGAACTATCAGAACTAGAGTTGCTAAATAGGCCTTTTAAATCTTTTTCTGATCCTGTACAGTAAAATGTGTTACAACCTATAGAATTCAGTTCAGAGGACTCAAAGTCAGGAATTACCATATTGGCAACAGTCAATTTTTCTTTGCCATATAATGTGGAATAAAATTATAAATTGGGCTGAGCACAATGGCTCATACCAGTAATTCCAGTACTTTGGGAGGCCAAGGCAGGAGGATCACTTGAGGCCAGGAGTTCAAGACAAGCCTAGGCAACATAGGAAGACCCCATCTCTACAAAAAATAGAAAAACTAGCCGGGCGTGATGGTGCATGCCTATAGTCCCAGCTACTCGGGAGGCTGGGGTTGAAGGATCTCTTCAGCCCAGAAGTTTGAGGCTGCAGTGAGCTGTGATCGGGCTATTGCCTGGGCAACAGATCAAGACCTCGTCTATTAAAAAAAAAAAATTATAAATCGTAACTTGCATGTTATAGTAGTTATGTCACAAAGTCTTACAAGAGCTACAGGATGTGGGCCAGAACCTCGCCTTACCTCTCTGACACAGTCCCCCCTTTCTTTCTGTTCTGCCACTACGCTGACTCCTTCCGGCCTTTGCATTTCCTATTCCCTCTGCCTACTGCTTACTTCCCTCACATACCATTCACTTCAATGCCTCACCTTCTTTAGGTTTCCATTCAGATATCTTTTCAATAAATCTCCCCCACTAACCTATTTTAAATCGTTGCAGCATACCCACTCCCAAATTCTCACTGTTCCTGCTTCATTTTTCTCCATGGCATTTATTACCCCATCTAACATATAACATGTTTTGCATGTTTGTCTTTCCTCTGAGCAGGGATCTTTGCCTGTCTCATTTTCTGCTATATCCCTAGCACATAGAATAGTGCCTGGCACAGAGTAGCTGCTCAGTAAATATTTGCTGAATAAAGACACCCATTTATTTACTTCTTTCATGTAAGCTTATGGCTTGAAAGTGACTTGAAACTAACAATAGTTTCACATAACCTGGTGGCTCCATAAAGTGTTGACTGATTGAGTTTTCCCAATAGGGAGGGGAGTGTTTTCTGGAGTTACCTTTTGTTCTTGCCTTAGATAGATTTTCATTCTGAGAATTGAGAAGATGAATACTATCATAATCCCAATTACCTTATTTTCTAGGATAATTGGAATATGTTCTCTGGAGATAGCAACATCCTTTGGGGAATAAACTGCTGTCTAGGTAGGTGAAGACAAAGGAAGGAAAATTCCCCTGGGCATGTTGCCTGACAAGCAACTCAAAGAGCAAACTCAAAGAGGTCTGGCTTCCTGACCCTTGTCTTGGGAAACAGCCCTTTTCTCCCCAGTATCCTCACCCCTAATGCTGTATGATGGGCTCCTCCCACCCCCTTAAAAACTCTCCATTGGCTTCCCATCACTAAGACTAAAATCCAAAATCCTTACCTTAGCCAAAAGGCACGTTCTGGCCCCTGAAGACCTCTATCCCATCCCACCTTGCCAATCCTGCTTCTGTCCACTAGAACATGCCAAATCAGCTCCTGTCTCAGGGCCTTTGTACTTCCTCTTCCCTCTGCTAGTCCTCAAGATATGCTCATGACTCATTCCCTCCATGCTTTCAAGCCTTTGCTCAAGTGTCTCCTCCTTGGCAGAGTCTTCCAAACCAAGCTATTTAAGTTAAAACTCTCAGCCTGCCATCTAGCACCCTGTATCTCCATTCCCTGCTGTTTCCCTCCATTGAGAGTCATATTTGTCTTAAATATTAACTTGTTTATTATCTATTTCCTTTTACTAGAATATAAACTCCATAAGGACAGGGATGTTATATGCCCAGCACACCTAGAATAGTGCCTTGCACACAGAAATTATGCTGTAAATATGAGCTTTAAATTGTGTTCAGCTCTTCTATATCTTTACTAATTTTTTGTCTGTTTCATCTATCAATAATTGCAAAAGACACATTGAAACCTCTCACTATGAGAGTAATTTTGTCAATTTCTCTCTGTAGTTCTAATTTTCTTTCTGTATTTTGAGGCTATTTTATTGGGCACATAATGTACAAGTTTAGAATTGTTATATTAATAGTTTCCTGGTGGAATTGAAACCTTTTTAAGTAATATGGGAGGTTAATTGCAAAAATTGCCTGAATTTTCCACCCCTCCCTATTGCCACACCTTTTGCAGTGTTACTTTGCAGCTCCTCCAAGAATCTCAGGTGGATTTGTAACTTACCGTGGCCAAAAGAAAATGACAGAAGTGATATCAGCCTGAGCTTTGAGAAACCTTGAAAACTTCCACATTCTCTTTTGGATCCCTGCCTTTGCCATGAGAACAGGCCTGGGCTAGTTTAATGGAAGAGGAGAAGCCACAAGGAAAAGAGCCCAGGTCTTCCCTGACCTGTCAGCAGCCAGCAGATCCCAAACATGTAAGCCCAGCTAGGATCGGCATAACCACCTACCTGACCTGCAGCTGCTCAGAGATGTACGTATGGTCCCCTCCTGGGACCTGAAGACTGTCCTGCTGGCCTGTGGACTCAAGAGCAATAATAACTATTTACTATGTTAAGCCTCTGAATTTTGGAGTGGTTTGTTATACAGCATTGTGGCAATAGATAGTTGGCACAAGTAGTGATTTTCCTATGGATAATGCTTCCTGCTTCGGGTCTCAGCCACAGAAAGGCTTTCCTGACTACCCAGAAATCTGAAGCAGTTGCCCAGTCTCTATCATAAGACCAGCATATTTGCATTTTTTTCTTTCTGTTCTCTTTTTTTTTTTTGGAGAGCGGGGGGACAGAGTCTCGCTCTGTCCCCCAGTCTAGAGTGCAATGGCACAATCATAGTTCACTACAGTCTCAGACTCCTGAGGTCAAGTTATCCTCCTGCCTCAGCCTCCCGAGTTGCTGGGATTACAGACATGAGCCACTATACCTGGCTTATTTTCTTTTTTTTTTCTTTTTCTTTTTTGAGACAGAGTCTTACTATGTCACCCTGGGTAGAGTGCAGTGGTATCATCATAGCTCACAGCAACCTGAAACTCCTGGGCTCAAGCGATCCTCCTGCCTCAGCTTCCCGAGGAGCTGGGACTACGGGCACATGCCACTACGCCTGGCTAATTTTTCTATTTTTGGTAGAGACAGGGTCTCGCTCTTGCTCAGGCTGGTCTTGAACTCCTGAGCTCAAGTGATCTCCTGCCTCGGCCTCCCAGAGTGCCAGGATTACAGGCGTGAGCCACCATACCCAGCCTCCTTACCTCTTTACTATGTCTCCCACACTAGAATGTCAACTGTGTGAAGGCAGAAATCTTGTCTGTTCTGGTCCCTGCTGTATGCTCGGTACCCAGCATGGTACTGTACAGTCCAGTGTGGTAGCCAAGAGCTGTGTGCCCACTGAGCACTTGAAATATGGCTAGTCCAAATTCAGATGTGCCAAAAATGTAAAATACACAAATGGGTTTCAAATGCTTAGTACCAAAAAAGAATATAAAGTATCTTGATGATTTTTGTATGGATTAAATATTGAAATGATAATATTGATATATTGGGTTAAATAGAATATGTTATCAACATTAATTTCACATGTTCTTTTTTATCTTTTATGTGACGACTAGAAAAATTTAAGTTACATTTGTGGCTTGCATTATGTTTGTATTGGCAGTAGTGCTATAGAAAGAAGCTCAGTAAATATTTGTTGAAGGAAAATATAAACAATGAATACTCCAAAAGAAATGGACTATCAAGCCACAAAAAGATATGAATTCACATAACTGTATCAACTCCCTTTAGAGGCAAAAAAGAAAGAAAAAAAAGATAATAAAATTTTAAATTTAAATTTAAAAAAAGATGAAAAAAGATATGAATTCATAGATTATTCATATTGCTAAGTGAAAGAAGCCAGTCTGAAAAGGCTACATACTATATGATTCCAACTACTGTATATGATGTTTGGAAAAGGGGAAGCTATAAAGATAGTAGCAAGATCAGTGGTTGCTAGAGATTTGGGGAGGGGGTGAGTACAGGGTAATAGGGTGGTAAAAGAATTCTATCATACTGTAGCAATGGATACATGTCATTATACATGTATCAAAACCCATAGAACTTGGTGGCTCACGCATATAATCCTAGCACTCTGGGAGGCCAAGGCGGGAGGATCGCTCAAGGTCAGGAGTTGGAAACCAGCCAGAGCAAGAGCGAGACCCCCATCTCTACTAAAAATAGAAAGAAATTAATTGACCAGCTAAAAATACATATAGAAAAAATTAGCCGGGCATGGTGGCACATGCCTGTAGTCCCAGCTTCTCGGGAGGCTGAGGCAGGAGGATTGCCTGAGCCCAAGAGTTTGAGGTTGCTGTGAGCTAGGCTGACACCACGACACTCTAGCCAGGGAAACAGAGTGAGGCTCTGTCTCAAAAAAAAAAAACAAAAAAACCATAGAACTATGTAACACAGAGTGAATTTTCATGCAAAATATGGACTTTAGTTAATGATGGATGTATCAATATCGGTTCACTAACTGTAACAAATATAGGCAGCTGGGAAGGGGGTTGAGGAGGGAGCTATATGGGAACTCTATACTATGTGCTCAATTTTTCTGTAAACCTAAAACTGTTTTAAATAATAGTCTATTTTTTAAAAAAGAAATTCGCTTTTGTACAGCCCCTAGAATGATATTTCTAAAACATACATTTGATAGGTCACTCCACTCTCCTAGAAAAAAATATCTTGGGTGGCTCCGCACTGTTCATGGGAGATAAGTCCTCATCTACTATCACTGGCATTGGCATTTACAGTTGTTTGCCGCTTTACCATACTTCCCTTTCCCTCCTCTCCTGACTACAGGTAGCTACAGCAGACTACTCAAGGGTCTCAGGACTCCTTGCCTGACTCATGCAGTCCACTCTGCCTGGAACCCCCTGCTCCCTCTGCACTGGCGGAGCCTTATCACAAGTCACGCCCCTCCCTTACAATCATCCTGTAGTCCTGTTTCCATAGGCCATATATTAAAAGCAGGTACAGAAAAGCAGGTATGTGGCATTTTGGTCATTTTTGTGCTTCTTTCTAATAAGAGTTTAGAAAATGGATATGATGACTGTTTATGTTCATCTTGGAAATGCTGAAAAAGAATTCTGATAGCTTTGAGTGGCTAGGGATTAATAACCTTGAGATGGAAACTGGAAGCAGACAAGGCTATTGAATGTCAGTGAAGATCTGCCTGGGCTCACCTCCTAGGCAAGAGGCAGCAGGATACCCCACTAGGAGCAAGATCCCAGCAGCAAGGCAGTGCCCACCCACAATGACGACAAGAGAGAGGCCTCTGGGGTGTCACCTGCTCTGAAAGCCAATCTGCCTCTGACTGCTGCTTGCCCAAGCCTGGGTGCCAGGGCCATACAGTTTCAGGTATTTAACTTCCAGGGCGTGACTCAGTGTGGGGGCAGAGGTGGCGGTGACATTACTGTCTGTACCATCCATTGTCCTGTGGAGCTTCAGGAGAGCTTGTGAGAACAAAGGCATGCAGACTCCCAGGTACGGAGCTGTTCTATTCTCACCAGTGGAGAAGGCTACCATTTATTGGGCCCTACACTTTGCCAGCCACAGTGCAGATTTCCCTGCATTGCCATTTACAGTATAATTGGTGTCTCTTCTCCTTATCAAAGATGTCTTATCCTACCACTTTGCTGATGGGAAACTTAAGGAATACCATACAAAGTTAAATGACTTGCTCAAGGTCACCCAGCTGGTTAACAGGTGACACAGCAAGGATTCTGAACCAGGTCTTTCTCCAAAGTTACAGACACAAAGTATGAGCTATCCTGGGCCCTAAATATCAAGCCAGGTAGAGGAAGCCATCTTCCTGTAGTCCTTTCAAGCCAGAGGTTCCAGCCTGGAGGAGTGAGGAGTCGGTTGAGACCTGAGGGCTGTTTAGAAGAAGAGGTGGAGTTTGAGGAGTGAGGAATGGCAGGTGGAGAGCCTGAGGGAGATCATGTAACTGTGAGAAAGGGAGGCAGAGGGGAAGATAGTTGAGTACAAGGCCAGACTATGGAATCCAAGTCCACAGCATCTTGTCTTTTTTTTTTTTTTTTTTAGACAGAGTCTCACTCTGTTTCCGGGGCTAGAGTGCCGTGGCATCAGCCTAGCTCACAGCAACCTCAAACTCCTGGGCTCAAGCGATTCTGCTGCCTCAGCCTCCTGAGAAGCTGGGACTACAGGCATGTGCCACCATGCTTCTTTCTATTTTTAGTAAAGACTGGTCTCGATCTTGCTCAGGCTGGTTTTGAACTCCTGACCTTGAGCAATCCGCCCGCCTCGGCCTCCCAAGAGCTAGGATTACAGGCGTGAGCCACAGCGCCCGGCCTTCAGGCTGGTTTTGAACTCCTGACCTTGAGCCATCCTCCTGCCTAAGCCTCCCAGAGTGCTAGGATTACAGGCGAGAGCCACCATGCGGGCCTCAGGGCACCTCGTCTTAACCAGGCAGTGGGCAGTCTCTTCCCGCCCTACCCACCGGGTCCTCTGACTGCATCCAGATGTATTACTGGGACCTAGTGGGAGCCGCTCTACCATAAACTACTCTTCGTTCCTGCCCGGGCGATCCACTACTGCCCTGGGGACAGAGAAAAGGGAGGAACTAGGATTTCTGAGAAATGCTCACCAATAACCTGGGGCGGGGGGGATTTCTTCTGGGTGAGGAGCTCCAGCCTTTGGCAGAGTAGAAGGTCTCCTCTGCACCCCCCAGCCCTCCGTATGCACCTCCCACCTGGCCCCTAGTTTGGGCGGCCCTGCGGGTTCCCGGAGCCCAGGGGCCTCTCCCGGGAGAGCGGGAAAGAGTTCTGTGCTTTGTGTGACTTGCTTCATTATGTATGAGCGTTGGCTCCCCTGGTTGAAAAATGATCGGTCCTCTCTTGGGTTTTCCCAGCTTGAGGCAAAAGCTTTCGGAAGATGGGGCAGTGCCCGCTCGGAGGGTTTAGTGCTTTAGAGAATGTTGAAGTTGGGGACGGGGAGGGGGCGGACGTGTCGCAGAACCTGACGACCTGCCCGGCCCCTCTCCAACACACGGGAGCGCTTGGCCCGTGGCAAACATTCTGTGCGGGCCGGACCCCACATCCGGCAGGCGAGCGTGCCCCAGTTTACTCCCATGCTACCGGGCGATGGAGAGCAGATGACGTCCCCTTTCTAGGAAGAACCGAGACAGTGCCTTTGGACACCTCATCACAGGTTAATCCACGTGCCCTCCACGGGCGCCGTGGCCTTCCGGCAAGCGACACCGACCCGCGTGGCCAGGGCTACCCAAGGACGTCCCGAGGCCCAGGGCGACTTAGCGGCGGAGCACAGGCGGGCAGCCCCTCCCGCACCCCCCACCTGTGACCTGGATTCCGCACGGCCCGCGAGGGTGTCGCGGGACGTGGCAAATAAAGGTCTGGTGACTGGGAAAACTACTCCAACCCCTGGAATCGGCGCACAAAGGAGACTGAAAGCGAGCGGTCGGGGCTGCGCGATAGTTCACCTGCGTCCGCCTCCGACCGCTCGCGGCCTCTCCGGCCCAGACCGGCTAATGATTACCCGCTCCCCGCCCGAG